CGGCCCCGCGGGGCGCGCGGTGAGTGGGGGACCCCCGGGCGGGGACCCCTGGAACCCCCGCCCTGAGAGCCCCCGCGGCATCCCCGGATCCCTCATCCTCCCCGGTCCCTGCGTACACCCCGCATCTCCCCCGCAGGGGGACACCCCGCATCCTTCCCCCGGACCCCGCATCCCCCCTGCTCCCCGCATTCCCCGGGGCGGAGACCCCCACCGCTGAGCCCTTGAGGCCCAGATCTCGCCCGCTCGTCGCATCCCCCGGGCGGGGACCCCCGCACCCCGCTCCTCTGAGCCCTCCCATTTCACCCCCGGACCCCACATTCCTCCCGGACTGCGCATCCCCCCGGGCCGGGACCCCCGTATCCCCTCTTCGGAGACCCCCGATCCCCACTCTGTCCCCCGCATCCTCCCCGCTCCCCATATCGCTCCGGGAGGGGACCGCCGCACCCCGCTCCCCTGGGCTTCCCGATCTTCCCCCCGGACCCCGCATCCTCCCCGGACTCCGGACCCTGCTTCTCCCGGGTTGGGACATCCACACCCCGCTATCCTGATCCCCCCCTGGACCCTCCATCCCCTCCGGACCCCGCATCCCCCCGCTCCCCGCATTCCCCCGGGTGGGGACCCCGCACCTCCCGCCCCCGAGCCCCCTGAGCCCTCCCGGACCCCGCGGCCCTCCCGGAGCCCGGGGGCGGCCCCCAGAGTGGCCCCACGGTCGTTGCCTCGCTGGGGACAAAGGTCTGGCCGCAGCCGGAGCCGAGGGGCCCCATTCCCCCCCCGCCACTGCGCTGGGGGGGGAGCCCGACCTTCTCCGGGGCACCGGAGCCACCCCCGGGGCTGGGGGGGACACGCTGGGGGGCTGCTCCCATCGCCCCATGTCCCCTTGCCCGTGGAAGGGGCACCGGGGCAGCCCCTGGGTTGGGGATCCTGTGCGGGGGTGCCCCCATTGCCCCATGTCCCCTTGCCCGGGTCACCGTCACCGCAGTGGCCATTGGGGCTGAGGGGGCTCCCATGGGGGCTGCCCCCCTTGTCCCACACCCCCACACCTGTGTCCTTGCTCTGTTGGGCAGCATGGCCAAAACCCCTCTGGATTCAGGGGGACAGACTGGACCTGGGGACAGAGCCAGCCCAGAACTGGGACAGGGCTCCCGGTATGAACTGAGTGGAACCCAATGAAGTCCCTGGGAGAGGGGCTCCCTGGGAGCCGGACAACGGAGGCAGCTGTCCCCAGGACTGGCAGTGGGGCCTCTGGATCCTGTTTTGCCATCCAGCCTGGTCATTCCTGGTCATTCCCAGTGTCTCCCTGCCCCGCTGTCCCACAGGGGGTACTCCAGGGAGGCCGAGGGAAGCTGGTTCCGCTCCCTCTTCGTGCACAAGGTGGATCCCCGCAAGGACGCGCATTCCAACCTCCTCTCCAAGAAGGAGACCAGCAACCTCTACAAGATCCAGTGTGAGTGCTGCTGCCAGGAAGAAGGCAGGCACGGATGGGGTGTGCCCCTCACCCATTGGAACCCCCATTCCCGGATCCTTCTCCCCTTCCCAGCCCCTCTCTCCTGTCCCTGCAGTTCACAATGTGAAGCCGGAATGCCTGGAAGCCTACAACAAGCTGACGTGAGCACTCTGAGGGGGCTTCCCAGCACCCCAGCGGGATGTTGGGGTGCTGTTCTGGAATGAGAGGGGTGGGAGAGCTTGTGCAGAGCTCCTGAGTGAATCAGTGTCCCTGATCTGTGCCTCAGTTTCCCTCCCTGTGAAACGGGTGCATCCCCCAGGCTGCACCAGATCCTGTTTGGGCAAACCCTGGGAGAGCAAAGAGGGGCACCAGGAGGGTTTTGGGGTGCTGCCACCCACCCCACTGCCCCTTTCTGTGCCCCCACAGAGAGGAGGTGCTGCCCAAGCTCCACTCAGACCCTGACTACCCCTGTGACCTGGTGGGCAACTGGAACACGTGGTACGGCGAGCAGGACCAGGCAGGTGAGGGCAGGCAGCAGCTCCTGGAATGCGGCGGACATTTGTGCCTCTGCTGCCAAAGGCAGAGATTTTGGTGGGATTTTGGGGTGCTGCTCCCCTTCCCCACCCCAAAACCCTCTTTGTAGTGCACCTGTGGCGCTTCTCGGGCGGGTACCCGGCGCTCATGGACTGCATGAACAAGCTCAGGCAGAACAAGGTACCACCACCGGGGTGGGGGCGAGACCCCTGTGCCCGACACCCCCGGCCCGCCTCGCCCCCACCCCGAAACCCCCGGCTGGGGCTGTCCCCAGGAGTACCTGGACTTCCGCAAGGAGAGGAGCCGGATGCTGCTGTCCCGCAGGAACCAGCTGCTCCTGGAATTCAGCTTCTGGAATGAGCCCCAGCCCCGCCAGGGACCAAACATCTACGAGCTGAGGACCTACAAGCTGAAGGTGGGGATCAGCCTGTGCCTCATGGGGGTCTTCAGGCTGATATACCCCAGGTTTTTGGGGGGAAGCCCCCCAAATTCCTCCTTCCTGGATGAGGAGACTCCAAGCCAGGTGAGCAGGGGGGTTCTGACTGGTTTTACCCCCCTGTTTCCAGCCAGGGACCATGATCGAGTGGGGCAACAACTGGTAAGCCACTGGTTTCCCAGCATGGAGGGATCCAAGGTGGGAAAAGCTTCCTCTGGAGAAGGGGGGACCCCTGGGGGGGCAGGCCCCCCATGCGTCCCCTGCTTCGTGCAGGGCTCGGGCCATTAAGTACCGCCAGGAGAACCAGGAGGCAGTCGGGGGGTTCTTCTCCCAGATCGGGGAGCTCTACGTGGTGCATCACCTCTGGGGTAAGGGCAGTCACCCCTGGGGGACCCCCGGCCTGGGGGCTGGGCTGGGGGGCTCAGGGTGCCAGCCCCATCCTCTCCCCACAGCCTACAGGAATCTGCAGTCCCGGGAGGAGACGAGGAATGCGGCCTGGAGGAAGAGGGGCTGGGATGAGAATGTTTATTACACTGGTGAGTGGGACCCCCACCCGCTTTGGGGACCCCCTGCCTGTGCTGGGGACCCCCTGCCCTCACCTCTCTCTCCTTTCCTTCCGCAGTCCCGCTGATCCGGACCATGGAATCACGGATAATGATTCCCCTGAAGATCTCCCCCCTGCAGTGATTGGGGGGCCCCGGACTCCCCGCCCGTGCCCTGGCCCTGCTGGGGAAGGGCCAGGGGGTTCTGCTCCCTCTGGCTCCCAGCTCTCTCCCCCATCCCATTTTGGGGTGCCCTGGGGGATTGAGAGCAGAGAGGGGAAGAAGGGAGCCCCCCATCCTGCGGTGGGTCCCCAGGATGGTGATGCTGGGGGGGGCTGGGCAGGCTGTAGAGGGGCCTTAATTGCTCCTGATGAGCCCAGCTGGTGCCTTTGCTGCCAATTAAATATTTAATATGCTAAAGCCTGGGCCCCTCTCGGGGTGGGGAGGGCAGTACTGGGGGTGCTTGGTGTGACCCCCAGGCTGGTGCCACCCATGGGTCTGCCCTGCCCCACATGCTGGATGCTTCCTGCACCAAAGGATCTCCACCCATGGGTGCTGTAATATACTGAGGGACCCCCCCCAAAGCCCCAGTGTACCCCCAGTGCTATTGGGGCCCCCTTGCCAAACCCATGGATACCCCCAAGTGCCATCAGGGACCCCATCCAATGTCCCTGGATCCCCCAGTACCACTGGGCACCCCAAGCCAGGGCCCAACCCAGCCCATGGATACCCCCCATGCTGTTAGGGACCTCCTCCCAAGCCCCTGAAACCCTCCAGTGGTACAGTGAACACCCTCCAAGCCTATGGATGCTCCCAGGGCTCCTTGGGACCTCTTCCCGTGCCTTTTTGAGCCCACAGATCTCCCCGGTACCATTGGGGACCCCATCTCGAGGGCCCCCCCAAGCCCATAGATCCTCCCACCATCATCAATGACTCCATCCTGTGCCCCTCCCAAGCCCCTGTGTGCCCCCCACCTCATTGGGGATCCCCCAGTGCCATCAGGGACCCCATCTCATGCCCCCTCCGACCAATGGATACCCCCAGTGCCACTGGGGACCCCATCCCAAGTCCATGGACACCCATCAGTGCTTCCGGGACCCCTATCCAAGCTCCCCCTATTCCTGTGGGTGCCTTTCTGCACCAGGAGCCCCCCCACATCCCACCAGTGCCCCCAGTGTGGTCTCACCCCCAGGGCTGCCCTTCGCCTCCCGCCCCCCGTGATTAAGCCACGCCCCAGTCGCGCGGGCCACGCCCACCTGCCGAAGCCACGCCCCCCGCGGGTCCTCCGGGGTGTCAGATCCGCTAGGGGGCGCCTGTGGCAGTGGCAGCCTCGCAGCCGCCCCGCGCCGCGCTGTTGTCCCGTGACGTCACTTCCGGGAGGCGCGGAAGCGAGAGCGCGGTGAGTGCCGGGGGTGAGCCGGGACCCCCGGGAGGGGATGGAGGGGGCGGCCCCGGGCCCCTTGGGAGGGACGGAGGGTCCGTGGGCCGCTGTGCTGGGGGCTCAGTAGGAGTGGAGGGTCCTGGTCTGGAGGGGGGAAGGCCCCGTGCTGGGGGGGCTGGGGGAGCTCTGAGGCCTCGGGCCCGGTATGCTGGGGTTTGGGGGGTTCTGGAGGAGCGGGGAGTCCCCAGCGTGGGGTCTGGGGGGTCTCTGAAGGGGTGAAGTGTTCTGGGCCCGATG